CCAATGGCACTCCAGCCGGAAAAAAAACAAAGCACCCCCGCAAAAAAAAAAAAAAAAAAAAAAACTATTATCTTTCCCCCTAAGATCAAGCACAAGACAAGGATCTCTCCTCTCCCCACTTCTATTCACTATTGTACTGGAGGTTCTAGTTAAAGTAATTAGGCAAGAAAGAGACATAAAAGATACCTAATTTGAGGCCGGGCGCGGTGGCTCACGCCTGTAATCCCAGCACTTTGGGAGGCCGAGGTGGGTGGATCACGAGATCCAGACCATCCTGGTCAACATGGTGAAACCCCGTCTCTACTAAAAATACAAAAAATCAGCTGGGCATGGTGGCGCATGCCTGTAATCCCACCTACTCAGGAGGTTGAGGCAGGAGAATTGCCTGAACCCAGGAGGCGGAGGTTGCGGTGAGCGGAGATCGTGCCATTGCACTCCAGCCTGGGTAACAAAAGCAAAACACCGTCTCACAAAAAAAAAAAAAAAAAAAAAAAAAAAAAAAGATACCTAATTTGAAAAAGAAGTAAACTATTTGCAGATGACGTGATGTTATATATAGAAAACACCAAAGAATCCAAACACACAAACTGTTAGAACTAACAAGTGAGTTCAGGAAAGTTGCAGGAGACAAGATCAATATATAAAAATCTGTTGTATTTCTAGACTAGCAAGGAACAATAAAAAACAAATTGGCCGGGCACGGTGGCTCATGCCTGTAATCCCAGCACTTTGGGAGGCCAAGGCAGGTAGATCATGAGGCCAGGAGTTAGAGACCAGCCTGGCCAACATGGTGAAACCCTGCCTCTACTAAAAATAGAAAACGTTAGTGGGAGAGGTGGCAGGTACCTGTAATCCTGGCTACTCGGGAGGCTGAGGCAGGAGAATCACTTCCCAGGAGGCAGAGGTTGCAGTGAGCCTAGATCGTGCCATTGCACTCCAGCCTGGGCAATGGGGCGAGGCACACCTCAAAAAAAAAGAAAAAGAAAAACGGCCGCTTGCCATTGCTCACGCCTGTAATCCCAGCACTTTGAGAGGCCAAGGTGGGCAGATTGCAAGGTCAAGAGATCGAGAGCATCCTAGCCAACATGGTGAAACCCCGTCTTTACTAAAAATACAAAAATTAGGCCACTCCGGAATCTTCGAACCCCAGTTGGTGCCGCATCCCCATCCCATAGCCATGGCCGCCTACAAACTGGTGCTGATCCGGCACGGCGAGAGCGCTTGGAACTTGGAGAACCGCTTCAGCGGCTAGTAGGGCGCCGATCTGAGCCCGGCGGGCCACGAGGAGGCGAAGTGTGGGGGGCAGGCGCTGCGAGTTGCTGGCTATGAGTTTGATATCTGCTTCACCTCAGTGCAGAAGAGAGCGATCCAGACCCTCTGGACAGTGCTAGATGCCATTGATCAGATGTGGCTGCCAGTAGTGAGGACTTGGCGCCTCAATGAGCAGCACTGTGGGGATCTAACTGGTCTCAATAAAGCAGAAACTGCTGCAAAGCATGGTGAGGCCCAGGTGAAGACATGGAGGTGCTCCTGTGATGTCCCACCACCTCCGATGGAGCCCGACCGTCCTTTCTACAGCATCAGTAAGGATCACAGGTATGCAGACCTCACAGAAGATCAGTTACCCTCCTGTGAGAGTCTGAAGGACACGATTGCTAGAGCTCTGCCCTTCTGGAATGAAGAAATAGTTCCCCAGATCAATGAGGGGAAATGGGTACTGATTGCAGCGAATGGCAACAGCCTCCGGGGCATTGTCAAGCATCTGGAGGGTCTCTCTGAAGAGGCTATCATGGAGCTTAACTTGTTGACTGGTATACCCATTGTCTATGAATTGGACAAGAATTTGAAACCCATCAAGCCCGTGCGGTTCCTGGGGGATGAAGAGACCGTGCGTAAAGCCATGGAAGCTGTGGCTGCCCATGGGAAAGCCAAGAAGTGAAGGCTGGCGGGCAGGCTGCTGTCCCCAGGAGCACCCTCCCTGCCTGTTGCATCCCTCTACCCCTCCCTCCTGCACGTCACACTGACCACATCTGTAGACAACTTGAGTTGTAGCTGCAGATGGGGACTGGTGGCTCCCATTTTCATTTTAGCCATTTTGTCTCCTGTACCCACTCCCTTCATACATTCTAGTCAGAATTGCACTTCTAGGGCACAGGTTCTCAGTCCAAGCTGTAGAAAGGCTCCCCTTATCCAAGAGAGTTGAAAGGTAGTGAGAGCTTTTGCAAGTGCTTTGTTTACTAATGACTTGAAGGGAGGAACATGCTAAGCTGTGACCAATGAAGAGAAGCAAGAGAGCCTGTCTGCCCCCAGGAGCCAGTCCTCTGCTCATCTGCAGTCAGGCCACTGCCTGGGGGCTCTAGTCATTCCAGTGGCAGATGAATGTAACCTGCATGGTGCTGTGACAACTGTCTCCTCCCTGACCCCAGAGAAGCTGGCTCTAGAAGGTTGGGATGAATCCTGAATTTAGTTTAGGTGTTACATTTACTTTTATATAAAAAAGAAAGTATAGTCAGCCGGGCGCGGTGGCTCAAGCCTGTAATCCCAGCACTTTGGGAGGCCGAGGCGGGTGGATCACGAGGTCAAGAGATCAAGACCATCCTGGTCAACATGGTGAAACCCCGTCTCTACTAAAACTACAAAAAATTAGCTGGGCATGGTGGTGCGTGCCTGTAATCCCAGCTACTCAGGAGGCTGAGGCAGGAGAATTGCCTGAACCCAGGAGGCGGAGGTTGCGGTGAGCCGAGATCGCGCCATTGCACTCCAGCCGGGGAAAAAAAAGAAAAACTCCGCCAAAAAAAAAAAAAAAAAAAAAAAAAAGAATGTATAGTATATATAAATAGTGCAAAACAATAACCCTTTTGGGGTTTCTTGTGGCAGTTGAAATAGTACCACATATGGTCATCAGAATATAAACCATTCCCCATACCAATATGGGATCAGCTCCTTGACCTCTGAGGGGCAGGAGTGCTTCCTGCTGTGTGTTTCCGAATCCCTCCTCACCTTGTTTTGTGGCAGTGAAATGCCTCTTGGTCCTGTCCAAGTGTCTCACTGATCTCTGAATCATGTTCTAGTTGCTTGGCTCTGCCACATGGGTCCAGTGTTCCTTTGAGCATAACTGTACTAAATCCTTTCTCCAGATCAGTATAATAAAGGAGTGATGTGCAATAAAAAAAAAAAATACAAAAATTAGCTGGGCGTGGTGGTGTGTGCTACTCAGGAGGCTGAGGCAGGAGAATTGCTTGAATCGGGAGGCAGAGGTTGCCGTGAACCAAGATCTCGCCATTGCACTCCCGCCTAGGCGAATGAGTGAGACTCAATCTCAAAAAAACAAACGAAAACAAAACTTCTATTTACAATAGCATCCAAAATAATAAAATACTTAGGAATAAAAAGAAAAAGGCATTATGCTAAAAACTATAGAACATTGTTGAAGTTAAAAGAAATTAAATAAGACCTAAAATTATGGAAGGAGATCCTGTGTTCATGGATTGGAAGACAAAATTGCAATTAAAATAGCAATACTCCCTAAATAGATACACAGATTTAATACAAGCTCATCAAAATTCCAATTGTCTTTTTTTTTTTTTTTTTTTTAGACAGGGATAAGCTGATCCTAAAACTCATATGGAAATAAATGCAAGTAACCCAAAATAGCCAAAAACCGTCTTGAAAAAGAAGAACAAAGTTGGAAGACTCATACTTCCCAATTTCAAAACTTACTATAAAGCTACAGAAATCGAGGCAGCATGGTGCTGGTGTAAGGATAAATAAGTTGAACAGTGGAATGGAATTGAGAGGCTGGAAATACACTGTCACATTCATCATCAATTGATTTCCAACAAGGGCATCAAGACAATTCTGTGAAGGAAAGGAATCATTGTTTTTTTTTTTTTTTTGAGACGGAGTTTCACTCATGTTACCCAGGCTGGAGTGCAATGGCGCCATCTCGGCTCACCGCAACCTCCGCCTCCTGGGTTCAGGCAATTCTCCTGCCTCCGCCTCCTGAGTAGCTGGGACTACAGGCATGCACCACCATGCCCAGCTAATTTTTTGTATTTTTGGTAGAGACGGGGTTTCACCATGTTGACCAGGATGGTCTGGATCTCTTGACCTCGTGATCCACCCTCCTCGGCCTCCCAAAGTGCTGGCATTACAGGCTTAAGCCACTGCGCCCGGCCAGCAGGAGTCGTTTTTTAAACAAAATGTGCTGAGAGAAACTGGATATCCACATGTAAAGAATGAGTTCAGGTCCATCTTGAACATTATACAAAAATTAACTAAAAATGCTTTGGGAGGCTGAGGCGGACAGATCACCTGAGGTCAGGAGTTCAAAACCAGCCTGGCCAACATGGTAAAACCCTATCTCTACAAAAATACAAAAATTAGGCTGGGCGCTGTGGTGGCTCACACCTGTAATCCCAGCACTTTGGGAGGCCAAGGCAGGCAGATCGTGAGGTCAGGAGATCAGGACCATCCTAGCCAATATGGTGAAACCCCGTCTCTACTTAAAATTTATTAGCTGGGCATGGGGGTGCAGGCCTGTAGTCCTAGCTACTCAGGAGGCTAAGGCAGGAGAATCGCTTGAACGCAGAAGATGGAGGTTGCAGTGAGCCAAGATCCTGCCACTGTACTCCAGCCTGGCAACAGACCGAGACTCTGTCTCAAAAAAAAAAAAAAAATTAGCTGGGCATGACTGTGGGTACCTGTAATCCCAGCTACTCGAGAGGCTGAGGTAGGAGAATTTCTTGAACTCAGAAGGCGGAGGTTTCAGTGAGCCGAGGTCAAGCCATTGCACTCCAGCCTGGGTAACAGGGCGAGACTCTGTCTTAAAAAAAAAAAAAAAGCCAGGTGTGGTGGCTCACGCCTGTAATCCCAGCACTTTGGGAGGCTGAGGTGGGTGGATCACCTGAGGTCAGGAGTTCCAGACTAGCCTGGCTAACATGGTGAAACCCTGTCTCTACTAAAAAAAAAAAAAAAAAAAAAAAAAAAAAAAAAAAATATTAGCTGGGTATGGTGGCAGACACCTGTAATCCCAGTTACTTGGGAGGCTTAGGCAGGAGAATTGTTTGAACCCTGGAGGCAGAGGTTGCAGTGAGCCAAGATCGTGCCACTGCACTCCAGCCTGGGCGACAGAGCGAGACTTAGTCTCAAAAATTAAAAAGAAAAAGAAAAAAAAAAAGAAACTAAAAATGGATCAAAGACCTAAATGTAAGAACAAAAACTATAAAACTCTTTAAATAAAATGGGTGATGCCGGGTAGGTGGCTTATGCCTGTAACCCCAGCACTTTGGGAGGCTGAGGCAGGCAGATCACGAGGTCAGGAGTTTGAAACCAGGCTGACCAGCATAATGAAACCACGTTTCTACTAAAAATACAAAAAAATTAGCTGGGCCTTGGTGGTGCACGCCTGTACTCCCAGCTACTATGAAGGCTGAGGCAGGAGAATTGCTTAAGCCCAGGAAGCGGAGGTTGCAGTGAGCTGAGATCATGCCACTGTTCTCCAGCCTGGCGACAGAGGGAGACTCCATCTTAAAAAAAAAAAAAAAAAAAAAAAAGCGTGCAGTTGCAGTTACTATGGAAAGCAGTTTGGCAGTTCCTCAAAAAGTGAAAAAAGAGTTATTATTTGACTCACCAACTCCATTCCTGAGTATAAACCCAAAGGAAGTGAAAACAGATTCTCACAAAAGCTTGTACACAAATGACCATAGCAGCCTTCTTCATCTAGCCATCATAGCCAAAAAGCAGAAACAACTCAACTGTAAACCAACTGATTAATGGATAAACAAAGTGCAGTACATTTGTATCACGGAATAGTATTCAGAGGAAAGAACTGCTGCAATGCTACCTGCTACAACGTGGATGAACCTTGAAACATGTATGCCAAGTGAAAGAAACCAGGCACAAAAGAAGACATAGCATATCATTGTGTTTACATAAAATGTCCTGAATCGGAAATCCAAGTAAAGTAGTAGTTGCCTAAAGCTGGAGAGAAAGAATGAGAAGTGGTTACTACTGGGTATGGAGTTTATTTTTATGTATTTATTTATTTATGAGACAGAGTCTTGCTTTGTCACCCAGGCTGGAGTGCAGTGGTGAGATCTCGGCTCACTGCAACCTCTGCCTCCCACGTTCAAGCGATTCTCCTGCCTCTGCCTCCCAAGTAGCTGGGATTACAGGCGTGTGCCACCACGCCCAGGTAATTTTGTATTTTTAGTAGAGATGGAATTTGTCCATGTTGGTTAGGCTGTTCTTGAATTCCTGACCTCAGGCAATTTGCCCACCTCAGCCTCCTAAAGTGCTGGGATTACAGGCGTGAGCCACAGCGCACAGCCTGAATTCTTTTTTTATTTTTTTTTAATGATTAATAGATGTTTTATTTAGGCAGGAATGCATATAGTCATCATTGCCAGATTTAATATGAGAGTCTAAATGTTCGATCCAATTTTCCTTCCCGGATAAGTTTTTCTTTCCTATCCTTGTCAGTTTTGAAAACATAATACCAGATAGGGGCCAAATCCAAACACAGCTCCCATGAGTCAGTTTTTAGGAGTGGGTCTGAAATTAGGATAGACGTTTGTTATTCTTGCATAGGTCCAACGAACTATGGCAGGATTTTCGACGGGTCCTCAGCGGTTGGGGTCGTTGTACTGAAGCAGGTACTCTTGTTTCAGCCGGGACCTAATGGCCAACCGCTCAACTTGCACCGCTGGGTTTCTGGAGACATCTTTATACTTTGGGAAGGACATCTAGGCGACCCAAGGCACAACTGCGCCTGTGCAATTCTCCAGCCTGTATTCTTAGTAGAGGATGAGGCAGGCAGATCATGAGGTCAGGAGTTTGAGACCAGCCTGATCAACATAGTGAAACCCTGTCTCTACTAAAAATACAAAAATTAGCCGGGTGTGGTGGTGCCCTCTCGTAATCTCAGCTACTCAGGAGGCCGAGACAGAAGAATTGCTTGAACCCTTGAGGCGGAGGTTGCACTGAGAGACTGCACCTCTGCACTCCAGCCTAGGCCACAGAGCAAGACTCAATCTCAAAAAAAATAAAATAAAAATAGGCAGGCACAGTGGCTCACACCTGTAATCCCAGCAGTTTGGGAGGCCGAGGTGGGTGAATTGTTTGAGGCCAGGAGTTTGAGACCAGCCTGGGCAACATGGTGAAACCCCATTTCTACTAAAAATACAAAAATTATCTGGGCATGGTGTGGGGCGCCTATTATTCCAGCTACTCAGGAGACTGAGGCAGGAGAGTTGCTTCAACCTGGCAGGCAGGTGCAGTGAGCTGAGATTGTGCCACTGCACTCCAGCCTGGGCGACAGAGCGAAACTCCATCTCTAAATAAATAAATAAATACAATAAAAATAAAATGGGGGCCGGGCGCGGTGGCTCACGCCTGTAATCCCAGCACTTTGGGAGGCCGAGGCGGGTGGATCACGAGGTCAAGAGATCGAGACCATCCTGGTCAACATGGTGAAACCCCGTCTCTACTAAAACTACAAAAAATTAGCTGGGCATGGTGGTGCGTGCCTGTAGTCCCAGCTACTCAGGAGGCTGAGGCAGGAGAATTGCCTGAACCCAGGAGGCGGAGGTTGTGGTGAGCCGAGATCGCGCCATTGCACTCCAGCCTGGGTAACAAGAGCGAAACTCCGTCTCAAAAAAATAAATAAATAAATAAATAAATAAATAAAAAATAAAACGGGGTGGGCCAATCGCAGTGGCTTACGCCTTCAATCCCAGCACTTTGGGAGGCTGAGGCGGGCGGGTCACCTAAAATCAGGAGTTTGAGACTTGCCAACATGGCAAAACCTTGCCTCTTCTAAAAATACAAAAGTTGTGGTGGCGGGCACCTATAATCCCAGCTACTGGGGAGGCTGAGGCAGGAGAATCACTTGAACCCGGGAGGTAGAGGTTGCACCAGTGCACTCCAGCCTGGGCAACAAGAGCAAGATGCCATCTCAAAAATAAATAAAATAAAATGGGGTGATGAAAATGTTCTAGAATTAGATAGTGGTGATAGTTTTATACCTCTGTGACTATGCTAAAAATCACCGAATTGTATACTTTTTTTGGGGTGGAGGTACAAAGTCTCACTCTGTCCCCCAGGCTGGGGTGCAGTGCCCTGATCTTGCCTCACTGCAGCCTCAGCCTCCCTGAGGAGTTGGAACTATAGGTTATCCTCTACTTCTGGATAATTTTTGTATTTTTAACAGAGATATTGTCTTGTTGTGTTTCCCAGATTGGTCTCAAACTCCTGGGCTCAAGAGATCTGCCCACCATGGCCTCCCAAAGTGCTGGGATTACAGGTATAAGTCACCACTGTGCCCGGCCTGAGTTGTATCCTTTTAAACGGTGAATTTTATGCTAAGTGAACAATATCTCTATTAGAATAAACAATGGAAACTCTTTTTTTTCTTTTTTTTGAGACACAGTTTTGCTCTGTCACCCAGGCTGGAGCAGTGGTGCCATCACGGCTCAGTGAAACCTCTGCTTCCTGGGTCCAGTGATCCTCCACCTCAGTACCCCAGCTTCCGGAGTAGCTGGAACCACGGCGTGAGTCTCTATGCCCCAGCTAATTTTTGTATGTTTAGTAGAGATGGGGGTCTTTCTATGTTGCTCATACTGGTCTTGAAGCCCTGGGCTCAAGTGATCTGCCTGCCTTGGCCTTCCATAGTGCTGGGATTACAGGAGTGAGCCATGGAGCCTGGCCTAAACAATTACTTTTTTTTTTTTTTTTTGAGACAGAGTCTCACTCTATCGCCCAGGCTAGAGTACAGTGGCACGATCTAGGCTCACTGAAACCTCCACCTCCCGGGCTCAAGCAAGTCCGCTGCCTCAGCCTCCCAAATAGCTGGGACTATAGGCATGCACCACCACATCCGGCTAATTTTTGTATTTTTAGTTGAGACGGGGTTTCACCATGTTGGCCAGGCTGGTCTTGAACTCCTGACCTTGTGATCCGCTCACCTAGGCCTCCCAAAGTGATGGGATTATAGGCATGAGGTGAAACTTTTTTTTTTGAATACAGGGTGTCTCTCTATCACCAGGGTGGAGTGCAGTGGTGTGATCTTGGCTCACTGCAACCTCTGTCTCCCACATTCAATCAATTCTGCCTCAGCCTCCTGAATAGCTGGGATTACAGGCATGTGCCACCCACCTGGTTATTTTTTATTTTTTATTTTTTTTTGTATTTTTAGTGGAGGCAGGGTTTCTCCATGTTGGTTAGGCTGGTCTTGAACTCCCGACTTCAGGTAATCCGCCTGCGTCGGCCTCCCAAAGTGCTGGGATTACAGCCGTGAGCGATCTCACCCAGTCTGAAACATTTTTTAAATTATGCCATGGACTTAGAGCGAAGAGTGGGGACAATGAGAAAAATATAACACTTTTGGCAAACGCCTGTAGTCCCAGTGCTGTGAGGGAGAGGTGGAGGCGGGAGGATCACTTGAGGCTACAGTGAGCTATGATCAAGCCATTGCACGCCACCCTGGGTGACAAAGGGAGACTCCGGCTTTTAAATATATATCAATATGAAAATAGAATGGCTCAGAACACTCATAGAAGGGACCTGGCCTGCCACTGAGATCTAGATTCTTGCCCTGAGGAAATGGCGGCCAAGTCAAACATCCAGTGGGTGGTGGAGCCAGAGTCAGTACCAGGGTGTGTCCATCACAGGAGCTCTGCACTGTCCAGTATGGTGACCGCCAGCTATGGTGGCTACTGAGTGTTGAAACATGGCTAGTCTGAATTAAAATGCGCTGTTAAGTATAAAACACACACTGGATTTTGAAGACTTCGTATATAGAGAATGTAAAGTGTCTTATTAATAACTCCTTTTAATTCATTATATAGTGAAACTACAATGTTCTGGAGCTATTATGTTAAATAAAACATGTTTTTTTTTTTTTTTTTTTTTTTTTTTTTTTTTTTTTGAGACGGAGTTTCGCTCTTGTTACCCAGGCTGGAGTGCAATGGCACGATCTCGGCTCACCGCAACCTCCACCTCCTGGGTTCAGGCAATTCTCCTGCCTCAGCCTCCTCAGTAGCTGGGATTACAGGCACGCGCCACCATGCCCAGCTGAATTTTTGTATATTTAATAGAGACGGGGTTTCACCATGTTGACCAGGATGGTCTCGATCTCTTGACCTCGTGATCCACCCGCCTCGGCCTCCCAAAGTGCTGGGATTACAGGCTTGAGCCACCGCGCCCGGCCCTGCTGGCATTGTTTTCTCTGGACAGTGCTGCTCTAGAGGACTGGGCACCCCGGGCCAGTCACATGGGTGGCATTAATTTATTAATGGAATAAGGTTTCACTGAGCATCCTTCGCTAGTGCTGGCCTACAGCTGATCTCAAGGGTGGGGGTCAAGCTGGGGAGGGGGTGTCGTCACCTGCACCTTTGGTCCTAAAGGAAGAGGCAGGCCTGCCTGGGTGGGTATCCCAAGCTGGGTGCCTTTGTCACCAGATCCGGAGATGATGCTTGCATGCCTGTGTCTAATTAAATATGCAAACCAGGGCGATTAAAAACAACAGAAAAGGGTGGGCCTCCTATGTATTTCAACGAAGTATTACTACTTCGGCAGAACTCCAAAATTAAAAAAAAAACAACAAAAACCACAACCTTCAGGTTATTCATCTAAACCAATCCAAAATACACTCGATGGTTACGTTTCAATCAGATCCGAGGATGGGCTGGGGCTGGGGCTGGGGTCGAAGGAGGATCAAAAATTGCCATGTAAACTCCAGGGGTAGAAACTTTGCCAAGTTCATTCTTGTATCCTTACCGCTTGGAACAGTGAGTGGCACATAGTAGGTGCTTCCCTTAAATACTAGAGTGAATCTATATGTGGAATTGTGCGGATGCAGGTGTGAGTTTTCCTGGGAGGGGTTGGGGGTGAAGGTCTCTAGCTTCTGTCAGTCTCAAAGGAGTCTTGGGTCCCCAAAGGGTTAAAAACCACTTCAAACAGACAGAGAGATGGAATTTATTTGAAATCAATGTCAAGCATCGGTTATTCTAATCCTGGGGCTTGGCCAGACCTGGGCGTCTGGAATGATCTACGTGCTTAAATACACCACTCGCCACCATTTTCTCCAGGTAATTTTCCATCCCTGCCCCCACCGTCAAGGGGAAGAAAGTGCTCCTCGGATCCCCGCTCGCCCTGGCCTCCCGCAGCCGCTGCGGGGGCGGCCGCCAGCGGACCCCCGGGGCGCCCGGCGCGGAGCAGTCGCCCGGACGCGCGCGGGCCTCGGGCGCCGCCGGGACCCCAGCCCCCCAAACTTTGGCAAGTTGCGGGCGCTGAGCGCACCCGGAGGCGCGGGGCGCGGCCGCGGGCGGAGCCGCCCCCTGACGCCGGGCCGCCCCCTCCCGGCCCCGGCCGCCCCGCCGGCTCCGCGGAAAGTTTGCGGCCGCCCCTGCGCCGCGCCCGGGGCCTGGGTGAGACTGCGGCGGCGGCAGGGCGCGGACGGCCATATTTGCCGGCGCGGCCCGAGCCGCCGACAACAAAAAGTGCGCGGGCGCTCGGCGAGCGCTCGGACCGGCGCGGGGCCGCCGGGGCCGCCGCGCCGCCGCCCGGCCTCGCCACCTCCGCCGCTGCCCTCGCGGCCTGGTCTCGCCGCGCCCGGCGCGCCCGCCGCCCGGGGTGATGTCTTACAAACCGAACTTGGCCGCGCACATGCCCGCCGCCGCCCTCAACGCCGGTGAGTGAGCCGCGTGCGCCGCGGCCCGAGCGCCGCCAAGTTGGGGGCCCGCGCGCCCAGCCCCGGCCCGGGGCTCCCGGGGGCGCCCTTAGAGGCCGGGGGCAGCGGGCTCAGGGTCCCAGCCCGGGGCAGCGCTGCCGCCGCCATGATTTCCGAGCCCGCGCCGCCAAAGTTCGCGGGTGCGCCCCGCGCGCGGAGGGCCTCGTCTGGGGGTGCGGGGCGGGCGGCCCGGGGTGACCCCCGCGCCGGCGGCTGCGGATCGCATGGAGCGCGGCGGGCGAGGGCGAGGGCGGGGGAGGCTTGTTCTCGACTCCTTTTTCTCCCGCTTCTGGGCGGCTCGGCGAGGGCCCCTGCCGGCGGGAGTCGGGAGCGGCCCGGGCCGCGCCGGGCGCGGGGCGCGGGGCGCGGGGCTCTGCCGCCCTGGGGAGCGGGGGACGCGGAGCAGCCCGGGCTGGGGGCGCTGCGGGCGGGGCCAGACCCCACGCGGGCGGGCGCGGGCGGAGGGGTGCGGGCCTGCCGCGGGCCCTGAGGTCTCCGGCCTGCCGTGATCGTGACCGGGACGGGGTCGCGGGTGGACAGCGAACCCGGAGGCCCAGGGGCCTTGGCCGGGCGCGTGGGAGCAGGGGCTGCCTCACGCGGGCACGCGCGGATCCCCTCAAGGTGTGCGCGGAGTGAACGAAGTTGGCTAATCCCTGGGACTGCTGGGGCCCAAGCTCGGGCTTGGGGGCAGCGGGTCACGCGGACGCCCCATCTGGGAGCCCGCAGGGCTGGGCCTGGAAAGCCCTGGATGCAGAAGCCGGGAGGGGCTCTCCTCGCCCTTCCTGGGGCTGTGGCTGCAGCCAGGCGCTCGCAGGAAACTCCTCCAGAAGTTGTCAGGCAGCTTCAGGCTGAGCCCAGGGGACCAAGGGAGCCATGGAGAGTGGGTGCAACGAGGGGCTCGGAGGTGCCGGGCGTTCTGCACTCACTGGGGCCCCTCTGCTCTGACACTTGGTCGGAAACAGACTTCCCAAAAGGTGCGTCGTGGGGAGAGGGGGAAAGAGCTTGAGGGGGAGGGGAGGTGGCCCCGTTGGTCACCGGTGCCACGCTGGCTCTCCTGCTCGAGTTTTGGGCCTTGTCTGCAAACGCTGATTTCATAACTCCCCAAATCCAAAGTTGGAACCCATACAAATGATATTAGAAAAACCTTGGACACTGAGGTGTACGGGCTGGAAAGAGTTAAGCGCCAGGGTGCGGAGGGAGAGTTGAATTGCTCACTTTTGGGCTCCGAGTCCCAAAGAGCAAACAGCCACTGTTTTCCTCTCAAACATTCTCACCTCTGGGGTCCGCAGACCTTACAAAGACGGGCTTTGTTGCCAGGTAGGAATGCCAGCAGCCTTCTTCCTCTTGGCCTGTGGGGAGGGCAGGGGCTGGTGTTGCCTGCCCGGGCAAGGCTGACATCTCAGACTTGCCCTGTTATCATCGGGGCCGGGACCCTAAACTGGGACCTTCGGGGTTTGGGGTCACAGGAACGGCGGCACCCAGAGGGACCCCTGAAGTCCTGTTCTGGGCTGGCTGCACTTGTACTCAGCTTTTCTTCTTTCTCTTGTGGAGAATTCCAGGAGTGCCGAGATCCTCAGATCTGGGCTTTTTCGTGCCCCCCCCCCCCCCCCCCGCCCCTCCACCATGGGCTCCTTTGCCGAAACCCAGCTCCCCTCCTGCCATTTGCATCCAAGATGGACTCTCCGGTGCCGCCGCTCCTCCAGCTTCCTTGTCATCATCCCTCACGCCCTGCAGCCCTGCCTCCTGCTCACGGGTTGCCAAGCCGCGGCCTGGCCGGTGGTGGCAGTGGTGGAGTTAGACAAAGCCCCCGCCTCCCCCGCCCCAGAGCCCCCCAGGCGCCCCAAGTGGCGGGAAGGCCGCCAGCTCCCCAGGCCCCGGCGCTCTTTGTCTGGCGTGGGGGCGGGGAGCTGCGCCTGGCCCCAGGAGCTTCCTGGCCTCTGCCAACCCCTCGCTCCTGCACACTGCGCTCATTGTCTGAGATGCGCCGAGACGGCCTGCGCTGACGCGGTCCCTGTGTCCCGGTCCCTGTGTCTGCAGGAAGGAGTGACCATGAGTGGAACTCGGGCCCTTCCGCCAGCTCTCTCCAGGACCAGACACCACCCCCAACCCTCAACAAGGAACTGGCCTGGACTGAGCACTGGGGTCACCGAGCTATTGCTCTAGTCGCCCAGCCAAAATGGGACCGATTTCTCATTCCTCCTCCCTCTCAGCCCTGCAAAACCTAACCCTGGTATCATCAAATAGTAGGATCTGGAGCCGGTAGACCTTCTCTTGGAAAGCACTGCCTCTAACAAATGGAGAAACTGAGGACTGGAGAGGGAGGGGCACTGTCTGAGGTCACACACCTAGGAGTGGCACAGCTGGGGCTGGTGCTGACGGGGGTGTGGGGAGGACAGAAAAGGGGAGGCGGGGATCAGTGGGCAGAGCAGCTGCGGAGGAGGATGGGGCACACCGACGGGATGTGAGCATGCATGGAAAGCGGCCAGCGCTTCTCCTGCCGGGGTGCTGGGATCTTCCAAATGCCCTGGGTTCTGTCCACGATGCTCGCCCCAGCGACTGGCCCTCGATGCCAGGATCGGAACCCAGGTCTGTGCTGGCAGAGACTGTATTCCCCACTCCATGTTTGCTGCCACATCAGAAGCTGAGAAAACGGGGTTTGGCTGATGTGGTGAGGAGGCTCTGGGGGACACCGCCCTGGCCAATTCCTGCAGTGGCTGTTAACGTGGCCGGAGTTCGTGGGGGTAGTGCTTCCCCGTCCTGAGCAGCCTATCTCTGTAGCGCATGTGTCTTGTCATCCCCACGTGGGAGGCATGGAAACTGAGGCTCGGAGTGGCACAGCGCTCTGCCCAGTTCAGGTCCAAGTCCGCATTTCCCAGTCCACCCCAAGCCTGAGCATAGCCCTGGGCTGCAGTGGCGGCATCCAGGGCTGGCCGGAGACCCAGGGAGATAGCTGGAGACTGTCCCCCATCCCAGACAGAGAGGCAGGTGCCAGGGTAGCTGGCTCCCTGCGTTGGCCTCCTCTGTGCTGTGAGGCTTGGGGCCACCCCCTCAGGTCTCTACAGCCAGGGGCCTGGAGCCAGGGTTCTCCAGGGCTCCTCCCAGCTCCCCCAGCCTGAGGCCCCGAACTTCCTTCCTCCTCTGCCCCTCCCCTCGCCCACACCAAGCGAGCAGCTGGTGGGTTTGGCCAGCCTGGCACCAGCTGTCTGTCCCCGGGGCCAAGTCTGCTGCACCCGCTGTGTGTGTGAGAGAGAGACCGTGTGGCTCTGGGGGCGGCAGGCGGGCAGCTGCCGAGGAGGACTAGGTAAATTCTCCATGGTTACCGCTGTTTGTCATTCTGCAGGCTATCCTTTACCCGCTAATGGCCACTGGGACGCCATTGCGGGGCTGCGTGCTCCCAGCCACGGACTCCCCTCCCACATCCAGGAGGCAGTGTGCTGGGCTGGGCCCTGCTTGGTCCCTGACTGCGGCCCTGGACGGGCCCCAGTGTTGCCTCCCGTATGTGGGGCCTCAACCTTCCTGTCTTGGGATGCAGAGCCCTGGGGATGTAGACTGCCAAGAGTGGTCCCCTCTTTGGGGAGGGGAGACAGGCACAGAGAGGTCGAGGGGCTTTCTCTGGGGCACACAGAGGCTGTGGTAGGGTTGGGTCTCATACTCCAAGGCCTCCCCGTGTCTTCCCCATCGTTGAGCGCAGCGATTTGGGCACATAGGAGCAAAGGAGCATTTGGGGACATAGGAGCAAAAAGGCTTCGTGTGTTAGGAAGCTCTGCTTTGTGTGGACCAGCCTCCACGGCAGGGGACACTTGTGGTGTGATGTGGCTTTGAGGTTCTCAGCCTCTGGGGACCAGGACACAGGGACAAGGGATGGTCAGGGATGAGGCTGGGAGTGGCATGGCAGTAACTTTATCTTTGGGAGCAGCCCTGCTGCTTGGAAGGCTCTGGCTGGCTGGGAGGGAGCTCCATGAGGACCAGCGGCCCCTGCAGAGCTGGAGATGGCTGGGTGCCTTCTAGCTCCATTCCACTAGCAGTCTTCTGTGCTGCTCAGACCGGAGGCGGAGAGCGGGGTTCTCTGTCCTGCCACAGTTGGTGGCGTGGGTCCTGGGCAGGGGCTGTTGCAGAACCTGGAGCCCTTGCCTTGGTACAGCTGGCTGAGCTGACTCCTGGCCTCTCTCTCCCCTCCCTGTAGCTGGGAGTGTCCACTCGCCTTCCACCAGCATGGCGACGTCTTCACAATACCGCCAACTGCTCAGTGACTACGGGCCACCGTCCCTAGGCTACACCCAGGTATGACAATGCGGGTGATGGCTTGGCGGGGGGGCTGCGGGGAGATGTGCTCCCTGCCTTCAGAGGAGAAGAGTTGGTGGAAGAGGTGAAGGCGCAGAAAGGATGGATGGAGCTTTCTCAGCCCAAGGCCCTGCCTGGGCTCCTGCTCAGAAGACATCAGAATGAAGGGTGCTGAGGACTGTGCTTTGCCGGGACCTGTGAGGTGGTGGGCACAGAGCACCAGGAAGTGGCAGCAGCCCCAGCTGCACTGAGCCCCCACGCCACGTGCTCCTCTGGTGGGTCTCCACTCTCCTCTTTCCTGGGCAAGTGAGGCCTACCTTGACCCTGGCTCTCCAAGCTGGGACAGAAGAGAGGGCTGGTTCCCAGCTGCTCTCCACAGGGCGTGGGCCCCGCAGAGAGGAGGCGGCTGTGTCTTGGGAGCCAAGCTGCCTCTTGTCGAGGGCCAGTGTTTGAGAGCATGGCCCGGGCGAGGCCGGTCCCTCGTACCACCACTTTCCAGACTGACCCCCACTTGGTAACTGCCCAAGACCTGGGCTCCTCATCAGCCCAAGGGTGACCCTAGTACCCCCATCCCAGGTTGGGGAGCGGCAGGAATGGGGTAGCCTCCACCTCAGCTGTACCCCGAATTTCCAAGGGGATGAACAACCTCTGGGGAAGGTCCCAGTGGAAAGATGCTCTCCCTGACTGGGCCCCAGCGCCAGTGTTCTGAGGTCGCCATGGAGCCTGTTCCTTGCCCAGTGGCTGGCTCCCTGGCCGTGCCCTGCCAGGCTGTCCTGCCCCAGGATAAGCAGATGCGGGCCCATGAGCGGGACCTGCTGAAGAAGCGGCGGCTGCGGGAGGCCAGGCAGAGGCACCGTCTGGAGGGGCAGTGCCACATCCCGGCCATCCGACCCCGGTGCCGGGACCGGCGGGAGGCCCATGAGGCCTGCAGGCAGTGCCATGGGGAGGCCAAGCAGCCGGACCAGGATGAGGCCAGGACAGAGCTCGAGGCCAGGGGACAGAGGCGGTGGTGCAGGAGGGAGGAGGCGAGGGCCTTGCCCAGGGAGCTGGCGCAGCTGTGGGAGGAGGCAGCCGAGGAACAGGCGGCCTGGGCTTTCGGGCCTTCTGGAAGCCTAGCCTCTCTGATCCAGGTGCTTGCCTGGGGCTTCCTGGTGATGGTGGGAGGAAAGGTTTTTGGGAGGGCGGGCCCCGTTAGTGGGATGGCGAGAGAAGGGAATGCATTCCAGGCTCTGGCTTGGCCGTGGCCAATGGCTGTGGTCCTGGTGGCCCAGATGTGGCCTCTGTCTCCACAGTGGCTCCGAGGCTTGGCCCTTGGGATGCGCCCTCCCTCCTGTCTGCCTCCTGGGAGATGCTCTGTGGACTCTTTCGAGCCAAGAAGAGCTGGTTCCCCTGTTCTGTTCATTGGAGATGATAAACTTGCTTCCCGGAGACGGCTGGGTGGTCTCCCAGGGTGTGTGAGGATGGGAGCGTGAGGACCATCTCCTTAACCTGTAGTTGTCCGCTAGAATGGGACGTGCCTCAGCCCAGCTGAAGTGGGCGCTCCAGGAGTCTGAGGCTGGGCTGCGTTCCCTCCCTTGACCGGCCCAGGATCCTCTCCACCCACCTGCCTGTGGCCTTGGGGTCAGGTTCAGTCTGCTGAACCCAGTTTTTTTTTTTTGAGATGGAGTCCCACTCTCGCCCAGGCTGGAGTGCAGTGGTGCGATCTTGGCTCACTGCAACCTCCACCTCCTGGGTTCAAGCAATTCTCCTGCCTCAGCCTCCCGAGTAGCTGGGATTACAGGGACGTACCACCATGCCCGGCTAATTTTGCTGAACCCATTTTTTTTCTGCTTCTAGGGAACTGGAAATAGCCAGGTGCCCCAAAGCAAATACGCGGAGCTGCTGGCCATCATTGAAGAGCTGGGGAAGGAAATCAGACCCACATACGCGGGCAGCAAGAGCGCCATGGAGAGGCTGAAGCGTGGTAAGCCTGGCCCCACTGCCCTGCCGGTGACCACAGTGCTAGGCCTTTATCTCTGGAAAGACTTTTGGGGAAAACATGGGAGGGTGGGCTAGGGATGGGGCTCACCTACTAGGGCTCCTGTCTTGTTACAGAGTTGCTGTCTGCTGTGGAGGCATCAGGCGGGCAGTGGTTCTGGTGGCAAGGGGTCTTGGGGGCCAGAGGTCTTCAGAGGGGGCTTCCGGGAATGGCAGTCCAGATAGCCTTTCGTACCCTGCGTGCTGCCAGAGGGTCTGCTGACCTTCAAGGGGGTGTTCGAAGCCCCCTGACCCTGCTGCTCCCCCTCCTGCCTGGTCTGCTTCTGTTGGCTGACACTGGTCCTAGGGAAGCCAAGCTCAGGGTCATCAGTGCCTGCACTGCCCTCTGCTGTCCCCTCTTTGGAGCTGGACCCAAAGAAGCTAGGGTCTGGGGAGGGAGGCTCAGAGCACTTTGTTCTTTTTTTTTTTTTTTTTTTTGCGGCGGAGTCTTGCTTTGTCTCCCAGGCTGGAGTGCAATGGCACAATCTCAGCTCACTGCAACCTCTGCCTCCCTGGTTCAAGCACTTCTCCTGCCTCAGCCTTCCAAGTAGCTGGGATTACAGGCACACACCACCATGCCTGGCTAATTTTGTATTTTTGTAGAGATGGGGTTTTGCCATGTTGGCTAAGCTGGTCTTCAACTCCTGACCTCAGGTGATCCGCCCACCTTGGCCTCCCAAAGTGCTGGGATTGCAGGCGTGAGCCACTGTGCCCGGTCTGGCACTTTGTTCTTTTAATGATTGAAGAGCGGGAGGGCAGGCAGGAGATGATAGAGCACAAGGGACTTGTGTCAAGGTATGACTGGCCGCCTGATTTCTTTATTTTTATTTTTATTTTTATTTTTATTTTTTTGGAGACAGAGTCTCGCTCTGTAGCCCAGGCTGGAGTGCAAAGGCGTGATCTCGGCTCACTGCAACCTCCGCCTCCCAGGTTCAAGCTATTCTTCTGCCTCGGCCTCCTGAGTAGCTGGGATTTCAGGTGCGCACCACCACGCCTGGCTAATTTTGTATTTTTAGTAGAGTTGGGGTTTGTCCATGTTGGTCAGGCTGGTTTCGAACTCCTGGCCTCAGGTGATCCACCCTCCTAGGCCTCCCAAAGTACTGGGATTGCAGGCATGAGCCACCGTGCCGGGCATGATTGGCTGATTTCGGAAGGATGTTAAATAGGTTGCTACCTCCTGAAATGAAAGAGGAGTGGAGGAAGAGTAGGATTTCTATTTTAGAAGGCTACAGTGCAGTGCAGCCGTAGCCCGTGATCTCATTCAAGATGAGAGGGAACTTGGGATTCTCTAAAAGGCAGGAGTAGCATCCTTGGAGAAGAACATTCTTTGGTTGTAAATATGTGGCATGAATGTGGGCTGTAGTTGACGTCATGACTCCAGTGACACGACGGCCAGCTGAGGACAGGCTGCTGCCAGGAGCAGGGTTGCTTTGGAGTTCATGAAACCCTGTGAGGAGGTTGATGGATCTCAAAGCTAGGTTGGGACTAGCAGGGTTACAGGGTGTGATTGAAGAGGGCCTGGGGAAGAGATGTGGAGCCCAACCCTGGTCTTGCCCCAAGAGTTGGGTGGTCCCAGGGCCGCTCTCTGGTAGCTGCGATGCTGGTTACCAGAATGGAAATTCCTGGGAACATGCTGGGACCCAAAGTCCAACAGGTGATTTGCAGCCACCCATAAAAGGTACTGGTTCAAGTCAACAAAATGGGTATAAGCTGCCAACCTTTCAGTAATAAGGAAGACCTAGTGTCACTCCTTGGCCAACAGCCAAGCCCGAGCTGACCAAGCTCAGGCCACAGCAGGGTGAAAACACGTCATTGATGGCTTGGAGACTTAGGAGCATTGTAGGTAGGTTGGCAACTACAGCCCATGAGCCAAGAGCCACAATAATAGTGTTTTTTTTTTTTTTTTTTTTTTTTTTTTGAGACGGAGTCTTGTTCCGTCACCCAGGCTGGAGTGCAGTGGCATGATCTTGGCGCAGTACAACCTCCGCCTCCCAGGTTCAAGCAATTCTCCTGCCTTAGCCTCCCAAGTAGCTAGGATTATAGGTGTCTACCACCACACCCAGCTAATTTTTGTATTTTTAGTAGAGATGGGTTTTCACCCTGTTGGCCTGGCTGTTCTTGAACTCCTGACCTCAGGTGATCTGCCCTCCTCGACCTCCCAAAGTGCTGGTATTATAGGCATGAGCCACCTCACCCGGCCCCAAGAATAATTTTTATAGTCCTTTTGTTTTTGTTTTTACTTTTTTTTTGAGGCGGTAGTTTCGCTCTTATTGCCCAGGATGGAGTTCAATGGTGTGATCTCGGCTCACTGCAACCTCTGCCTCCTGGGGTCAAGTGATTCTCCTGCCTCAGCCTCCTGAGTAGCTGAGCTTACAGGCATGTGCCACCACGCCCGGCTAATTTTATATTTTCGGTAGAGACAGGGTTTTTCCATGTTTGTCAGGCTGGTCTCGAACTCCTGACCTCAGGTGATCCGCCCACCTCAGCCTCCCAAAGTGCTGGGATTATAGGCGTGAGCCACTGTGCCCGGTGTTGTTTTTTTGAGATAGAGTCTCACTTTGTTGCCTAGGCTGGAGTGCAGTGGCATGATCTTAGCTCTGCAACCCCTGCCTCCAGGGTTCAAGTGAGTGTCCTGTCCCAGCCCCCCAAGTAGCTGGTATTATAAGTGCCTACCACCACGCCTGGCTAATTTTTGTATTTAGTAGAGATGGGGTTTCACCATGTTGGCCAGGCTGGTCTTGAACTCCTGACCTCAAGTGGCCAACCTGCCCTGGCCTCCCATAGTGCTGGGATTACAGGTGTGACCTACTGAGCTGTCATGGTTCTTAATGGTTGAAAAAGAAAAATGATTTGGGGATGTGTGAAAGTTACGTGAAATTCGGACTTAAATGTCCATAAATAAAAGTTTGTGTTGGTGCACGCCTATAATCCCAGCAGTTTGGGAGGCTGAAGCCAGGAGCTTGAGACCAGCCTGGGCAACATAGTGAGACTCCCATCTCTACACATAATAATAAAACAGCCAGGCATGGTGGTGTGTGCCCATAGTCCCAGCTACTTGGGAAGCTGTGGTGGGAGGATCACCTTGATCCTGGGAGGTTGAGGCTGCAGTGAGCTGTGATTGTGCCACTGCACTCCATCCTGGGTGATGGGGCAAGATGCTGTCTCAAAAAAAAATTGGAAGTGGTTGTGACAGAGACTGTGGAGCCTGCAAAGCCCAAAATATTTGCTGTCTGGTCCTTACAGAAAACATTCTCCAAGGCTCTGAGTTACATTCTAAGATTTGTGAGTTGATGATGTGGGGATGTCATTCCCAGTGGCCTCTGGGAGTCATTTATTAGAAGAAATAGAATCCTTAGTGTCTATTAAAAGATCATATTTCATGAAGTTCAGTAGCGACAGAAAGAAAAAACGGTAAGCACCAAACCGTAGAGACAAAAGACTGGGGAAGATTCATAGGGCAGAAGGTAGCTGCAGAGTTTTGTGGGGATGTCCCGGTGGACCAGGCAGCAGTCAGTCCTCTGCGCCCTCGAGTGTCCGGCGAGAGGCATTCTTCTGCTTGACACTGGTCAAGCCCTTTCTAGAATTCGGACTGAGGAAGCCAGAGAAAAATCTCCACAGTGGGTCAGGCATAAAGAATTTGGGTGGAGACAGGTCTTTCACCCAACAATGTCACGGAAGGACAGGGACAGCTTGCTGGTGCCACCATGAGTGCAGGTAGAAATGTTTAGAGAGACATGGAGTTGTGGTGAGGAGGAAAGGGCTTTAGAGGGGCATGGGGTGGTTAGCATCCTTCAGGGTTGCTTGGATCAAGGTGCCACCAGTTCCCTTTTTGTCTGAGGGTTTTGTGGCCAGGCATGGAAGGATGGATCCTCTTCCTGTTTCAGAATGGGTTCTGCTGGCTGGCTGGCCCGGTGCACCGGCTGATCATAGGTCTCTGCCTCTCTTTCAGGCATCATTCATGCTAGAGGACTGGTTCGGGAGTGCTTGGCAGAAACGGAACGGAATGCCAGATCCTAGCTTCCTTGTTGGTTTTGAAGGATTTCCATCTTTTTACAGGATGAGAAGTTACAGTTCATCTCCCCTGTTCAGATGAAACCCTTGTTTTCAAAATGGTTACAGTTCAGTTTTTTGGCTCTGAACCTACAGTCTCAAAGATTGAGAAAAGATTTTGCCGTTAATTAGGATTTGCAATTTAAGTAGTTAGGAACTGCCCAGGTTTTTTTGGTTTGTTTTTTGTTTTATGCATTGATTTAAAAGATGCTCCTAAAGTTATCTTACAGCAAACTAGTTTGCCTCCAAGACACCATTGTCTCCCTTTAATCTTCTCTTTTGAATACATTTGTAACTCACAGTGTTCTTTGTTCCTTTTCATAAGCTAACACCACTCTAGGGATTTTGTTTTTAATGCATATTGACAGCACGCTTTACTTAGTAGCTGGTTCCCATTTGCCATACAGTGTAGATTCTGCTGAATGTAACTTCTTTTTTGCTTAAGCATTTGCATGACTATTAGTGCTTCAAAGTCAGTTTTTAAAAATGCACAAGTTCTAAATACAGAAGAAAGAGCAACCCACCAAACCCAACAAGGACCCCTGAACATTTTCATACTAAGACTGTAAGTAGATCTCAGTTCCTCGTTTATTGTAAGTTGATCAAAACATCTGGAAGAAAATGACTAAAACTGTTTGCATCTTTGTATGTATTTATTACTTGATGTAATAAAGCTTATTTTCATTAACAATTTGTATTAAAATGTGAGTTCCTGCATTTTTTTTTTTTGGGATGGAGTTTCGCTCTTGTTACCCAGGCTGGAGTGCAATGGCACGATCTCGGCTCACCGCAACCTCCGCCTCCTGGGTTCAGGCAATTCTCCTGCCTCAGCCTCCTGAGTAGCTGGGATTACAGGCACGCACCACCATGCCCAGCTAATTTTTTGTAGTTTTAGTAGAGACGGGGTTTCACCATGTTGACCAGGATGGTCTCGATCTCTTGACCTCGTGATCCACCCGCCTCGGCCTCCCAAAGTGCTGGGATTACAGGCTTGAGCCACCGCGCCCGGCCCTTAAGTTCCTGCAATTCTTAAGTGCTGTTTTAATTTTCTGAGACAGGGTTTTGCTTTGCCACCCAGACTGGAGTGCAGTAATGTAATCTTGGCTCATCGCAGTCTCAACCTCCTCAAGCAGTCCTCCCGCCTCAGCCTCCCTAGTGGCTGGAACTACAGGTGTGTGCCACTACGCCTAAATAGTTAAAAGACTTTCTGTATTGAATTGAATGGGTGTGTGGGGAAAAAACCCTTTTTGTAAAGATGAGGTCTCACTATATTGCCTAGGCTGGATCCTGGGCTCAAGTGATCCTTCCACCTTGGCCTCTCAGAGGATTATAGGTATGAGCCACCATGCCTGGTCTTTTAAATAATATCTCATTAGAGGTAGGAGATACCTGTTCAAAGGGTGTTTTTCCCTCCTGACCCGGAAACATTTTGGTGATGACATCACTAGCACAGTTAGCTGGGGAAGAATGTGTTTGCTAAGTCAGAGGTAGGGATAAAGTGAAGTTGAATTATGGGTATATTTTAAGTGCAGCAAACTTAAGTGTATGCAGGAAAAAAAAAATACCAGAAGCAGTTTTTTTTTTTTTTTTGAGATGGAGTCTCCCTCTGTCGCCCGGGCTGGAGTGCAGTGGCTTGATGTTGATTCACTGCAACCTTTGCCTCCCAGGTTGAAGCAATTTACCTGTCTCAGCCTTCCGAGTAGGCTGGGATTACACGTGTGTGCCACCATACCTAGCTAATTTTTATTTTTTTAAATAGAGATGGGCTTTTACTATGTTGGTCAGGCTGGTCTCGAACTCCTGACCTCAGGTGACCCACTTGCCTTGGCCTCCCAAGTGCTGGGATTATAGGCATGAGCCACCGCACCCAGCCTGAAGCAGTTTTATTGACTTGGCCTATTACCCCATAGTCAGGCCATTCTCAGTTCATAGGTGCTTATCTTGTGAGCTTTTGCTGGGTGCTATAGGAGTCTTTCATAAAAAGTGGCCTCTAAATTCAAACTACTTCATCTGGTGCTCACTGGAAGAATTACCTGCTCTGGTGCCAGGAAAGAATTGGCTGCACTGGAGAATCCACGTGGTGGTCTCCGACAGTGCCTCCCAAAGGGATTTTAATTCTTATTTTATACCTTAGGCACTAAATGTGCAGTGAGAATTTGCTAAGCAGTAGGCAAAGACAAATGAGAGAGACTTGTCTTTGATGCAGGCATGAGGCGAAGTCTCAGCCATAACACGGCTGAAGGCCAGCAGGAACGGGCTCTAGGGAAATGGGTGCCTGCATCCCTTCCTGCATGTGGCAGAAAGGTGCAAGGGTATGAGGAGACAAACGGAAACCACTGTCCCTTGTCTCCAGCTCCAAATTTCCCTTCCCACTATTACTGGTTTCTTAGGTGTCATTTTAGAGATTTTATCTTCTAAAGGGAGTTTAGGCTGGGGAAGGGTCCTGGACACTCCAACAGGAGGTGCAGAATGAGTCCTGCATTGAACGTGTAAGCATCCAAAGCTGTCACTTTGAGGCAAGAGCCTTCATTGGCAGCCTCAAAGAGAAAGGTGTGCTTGGATGTATGCACTGGGCATGCAGCCTGGATCTGCTGGATGGACTGCAGAACTGAGGCAGCTCCTGCGACTGGCAATCTCACAGTGGCCTTCTCGACTCCCAGTATTTTTCCATTTGTTTTCTACATGGATTCCAGAAGAGTTCTAACAAGCCAAGCTATTAAGCATGGCTTAAAAAAAAACAACTTTAAGGTCAAATCCAGCTTGAGTGATGCAAATTCACAAGCAAATTGGATTCTGGAACCTCACCTTTACAAATCTACCTGCAAACCAATGTGCAGGGAATGTGTTTCTGCATCAGAGGCACAACTGGGCAACATACAGCCTAGAAGCTAATGGAGCACATGGGCAAGGAACATAACCTTTAACTCTTCCGTCTAGTTATCTTTTACTGTCTTCAGGTGATGTCGGGATAATTGACGTTTAAGTGTCACTGGACAGTGGCCTCCCAGCAGATGCTAAGTTGCCAGCAAATGCTATTAATGTTTGACTCAATTCTCCAGTTCTCCATAAAAATTGACCCTACGAATTTCAAAAAAATTTTATTACAAAACAGATATAATCACACAAAGGTTTAACTTGAAATATGGGAACAGGTCGGGTGAACTGGCTCACACCTGTAATCCCAGCACTTTGGGAGGCCAAGGTGGGCAGATCACAAGGTTAAGAGATGGAGACTATCCTGGCCAACATGGTGAAACCCCGTCTCTTAAAAAAAAAAAAAAAAAAGAAATATGGGAACACACTTCTAACTACCGCGCAGGGGAAGAAACAGAACTTTGTCAGGCATCCCAGAGCCCCTCCAAGTGCCTATCCTTGTGTAGTACTGATTTTGTGTTTCTTTTTTTTTTTTTGAGACAGAGTTTCACTCTTGTTACCCAGGCTGGAGTGCAATGGTGCGATCTTGGCTCACCGCAACCTCCACCTCCTGGGTTCAGGTAATTCTCCTGCCTCAACCTCCTGAGTAGCTGGGATTACAGGCACACGCCACCATGCCCAGCTAATTTTTTGTATTTTTAGTAGAGACAGGGTTTCACCATGTTGACCACGATGGTCTCGATCTCTTGACCTCGTGATCCACCCGCCTCGGCCTCCCAAAGTGCTGGGATTACAGGCTTGAGCCACTGCGCCCGGCGATTTTGTGTTTCTTTATAGTTTTATTTATTTTTTTCAGCGCTTCTTCCTCCCTCTATAGTTTTATTTTTTAGAGACATGGTCTTACTCTGTCACATGGGCTGGAGTGCAGTGGTGCTCACAGCAAACTGTAATCTCAAGCTCTTGGGCTCAGGTGATTCTCCTGCCTCAGCCTCCCCAAATGCTGGAATTATAGGCATGTGTCATTGTGCTCAACCTAGTTTCATTCTTTTTTGAGATGGAGTCTCGGTGTTGCCCGGGTATTGCCTAGGCTTGAGTGCAGTGGCGCAATCTCAGCTCACTGCAACCTCTGCCTCCCAGGTTCAAACAATTCTTCTGCCTCAGCCTCCTGAGTAGCTGGGATTATAGGTGCCCACCACCACACCTGGCTAATTTTTTGTACTTTTTAGTAGAGATGGGGTTTCATCATGTTGGCCAGGCTGATCTAGAACTCCTGACCTCAAGTGATCTGCCTGCCTCATCCACCCAAAGTGCTGGGATTACTGGTGTGAGCCACTGTGCCTGGTCGAGTTTTATTCTTGAATCGTGCAGGTCTCTGTTCACTGTAGTTTAAGGTGTACCATTTAAATAACTTTGTTATCTTCCTTTTTACTTGATTCCCATAGTTCTTTCAGTAGCTTCTTTTTTTCCAGGGTTTCCTTTGCTCTTTTTTTTTTTTCTTGCTTTTTCTTCGCTGCTTCCTGTTTTTCTTTGTGAACAGGACTGTTTTCACCATTGTAGAAAACATCCACTTTCTCTTGTAGGATTTTCCGAGCTAGCTTTCTGTTTTGATCAACTGATCTTGTCTGATGGCACTGTAAGAGAATATTTTATAGTGTGAAAACAACAAGATATTACAAGATGGACAGGACCTCAGAAGTTACTAAATTCAACCTGTTTGCTTTTTATTTATTTATGTCTGTATTTATTTTTTGAGACAGTTTCATTCTTGTTGTCCAGGCTGGAGTGCAGCGGCGCCATCTCAGCTCACTGCAACCTCTGCCTTCTGGGTTCAACCAGTTCTCCTGCCTCAGCCTTCCAAGTAGCTGGGATTACAGGCACACACCACCACGCCCAGCTAATTTTTATATTTTTAGTAGAGATGGGGTTTCATCGTGTTGGCAAGGCTGGTCATGAAATCCTGTAAGCTTTACAGAGAGGGACAAGCCTAGGAGGGAAAGCCCCTTATCAGGAGTTCCCATGAGTCAGTGACAGTGAAGACCAGCCCTGTTCCTGCCTCTGCCCCATGGCCTCTGCTGTGTCCCACACTCTTGCTATATTATGTGGCTTTCGCTGTGATTGTTTTAATCATTAGGAGTACTAGTTTGTTAGCTGGGCGTGGTGGCTCACGCCTATAATCCCAGCACTTTGGGAGGCCGAGGCGGGTGGATCACGAGGTCAAGAGATCGACACCATCCTGGTCAACATGGTGAAACCCCGTCTCTACTAAAACTACAAAAAATTAGCTGGGCATGGTGGCGTGTGCCTGTAATCCCAGCTACTCAGGAGGCTGAGGCAGGAGAATTGCCTGAACCCAGGAGGCGGAGGTTGCGGTGAGCCGAGATCGTGCCATTGCACTCCAGCCTGGGTAACGAGTGAAAACTCCGTCTCAAAAAAAAAAAAAAAAAAGAGTACTATTTTGTTTAGAAGCAACAGTGGCCTTCAAATATCTTAAAGTCCCACAATAATTATGAAAGTATCAACTGACGTATCTAGTTTGTGGCCAGTGAACAACCTCTTTGTGTGCACCATTCCTAAGCATAAAGTTCTGTCTGAAGGAAGAAAATAGCATCTTTATTAGTCAACCATAACTCACTCACTGTGTAATGCCTTAGTTATTATAGGTGAGTGAGTGCCTTGCAAAGCTGTTTGATAAAAGATAAATCCTAAGCCAGGCGTAGTAGCTCATGCTTATAATCCCAATGCTTTGGGGGTGCCAAAACAGGAGGATCACTTGAGGGCTGGAGTTTGAGACCAGCGTGGGCAACCTAGCGAGAACCTCCATCTCTTGCCAAAAATTTAAAAATTAATTGGGTGGCTGGACACAGTAGCTCATGCCTGTAATCCTAGCACTTTGGGAGGCTGAGATGGGTGGATCACTTGAGGTCAGGAGTTTGAAACCAGCCTGGCCAACATGGTGAAACCCCAACTCTAGTAAAATTACAAAAAAATGAGCTGGGCATCGTGGCGGGCACTTGTAATCCCAGCTAATTGGGAGGCTGAGGCAGAAGAATTGCTTGAACCCAGGAGGCAGAGGTTGCAGTAAGCTGAGACGGCACTACTGCACTCCAGCCTGGGTGACAGAGCAAGACTCTGTCTCAAAAAACAAAACAAACAACCAAAAAAAAACCACCAAAAACTGAGTGTGGTGGTGCATGCCTGCAGTCCTAGCTACTCAGGAGGCTGAGGTGGGAGGACTGCTTGAGCCCAGGCGTTTGAGGCTACACTGAGCCCTGATCGCACCATTGCACTCCAGCCTGGGTGATGAAGCAAGACCCTGTCTTTTAAAAACAAAAACAAAAAACAAGAATGACCAGATGTGGTAGCTCACACCTGTAATCTCAGCACTTTGGGAGGTCAAGGCAGGCGGATCACAAGGTCAGGAGTTCAAGACCAGCCTGGCCAATATAATGAAACCCCAATCTACTAAAAATACAAAAATAAGCTGGGAGTAGTCGTGGGTGCCTGTAATCCCAGCTACTTGGGGGGCTGAGGCAGGAGAATTGCTTGAATCTGGGAGGCAAAGATTGCAGTGAGCCGAGATTGTGCCATTGCACTCCAGCCTGGGTGAGAAGAGCCAAGACTCTGTCTCCAAAAAAAAAAAAAAAAAATTCTATGAAATTAGGGTGAAAGAATAATACTGAAAGCAAATTTATGTGTAATGAGTTATGTAAAGTACGTTAAACAAAAATTAACTCGGGTTTCAGAATTTTGTTACTCATGAATGACATTTTTTTCTTTTTCCCTCTCCTTTACCCAATGAATGATGCTTTTCAAAGAGGAAAAGAAAAGTGATTGAGGTTTTACGTGATATGCTTGTGGCTCAAAATCCTGGCAGTGAGGGTGAGCATGGTGTCTCACTCCTGTAATCCCAGCACTTTAAGGGAGGCTAAGGTGGGCAGATCACCTGAGGTCGGGAGTTTGAGACCAGCCTGACCAACATGGAGAAACCCTGTTTTCACTAAAATACAAAAAAAAAAAAAAAAAAAAAAAAGGCCGGGCATGGCATTGCACACCTGTGATCCCAGCTGCTCTGAAGGCTGAGGCAGGAGAATGGCTTGAACCTGGGAGGCAGAGGTTGCAGTGAGCTGAGATCACACCATTGCACTCCAGCCTGGGCAATGGGCGAAACAAAACCACCCCTCAATGAAGTGCAGCTGTTAGGAATGTGGACTTGGGGTATGGTGTGAACTGACTACTAAGTTGCAGGACCTTGGGGAGGTCATTTAACATCTCTGTGCCCCAGATTCCACACCTCTACTGTGATAGAAATCATGAACATGGGGTTATGGGGATTGCAGAGTTAATGCTGCTTAGAACAGTTCCTCCCACACGTTTCCATGACCTGTAAGTATCTGCTACCAGTATTTTTATACACGAAACGCCTGCCTTGGCTATCTCTGTGCTGCTTCCAGGGCTCTCTGGTGGTCATGAGGCAGATGGACTGGGAACCCCTCTGACCAGGCTTGGCTTTTTTTTTTTTTTTTTTTTTAAGAAGGAGTCTTGCTGTGTTGCCCAGGCTGGAGTGCTGTAGAGTGATCTCAGCTCACTGCAGCCTCTGCCTCCTGGGTTCAAGCAATTCTCCTGTGTCAGCCTCCTGAGTAGCTGGGATTACAGGCGCATACTACCATGCCCAGCTAATTTTTGTATTTTTAGTAGACATGGGGTTTCACCATGTTGGCCAGGCTGGGAGGTATTACCGACATTTACCAAGGGGGACAGAGAGGCATGGAGGATGTGGCCACCCTAATGATGTTAACCAGCCAGGTCAGCTAAGGGCTGGGACTGCTAGCCAACAACCCAGGCCTGCTTGCTGCCTCCTCAGGGACTTGGAGCCCACAATAATGCTGGAGATCTTGGCAGCCATCCTGCAGCGGGAGTAGCTTTCAAAGAACCACACTGCCCAGGCGCCTGCCTTTATCAGCCACTGCTTAGCTTGGTCAACTTGCTGCTTCCGGGGCGGCAGCCAAGCACCAGTGCTGCCTGCCAGATTCAAGGATGGCCGCCATACCCTGGCTCCAAAAGATCGTGGAAGCAGGCTTCCCAGGTTGTCGTAGGCAGAAAGGCTCAGGGATGGGATGACATCTGCAGTGCCCTCTACCGCCCAGCTGGTAGAGGGGGGCTCGCGCCAGAATGAGCTGTGCACTTCAGCTGGTCCCATTCACACTTGGGACAAATCTCTGGGGCTGTGGAACCCTTAGGTGGGGCCTCTCCCCTCAGTGGCTTTTGTCCCCTACCTTTACGACGATGCCTGAGGGGATGTGCTTTAGCACCACACAGTTGCTGGTTTTGTTGGTTGCTTGGCCCCCTGGACCGTGTCCTTTCACAAACTGCTCTTCGAGTTCATTCTCATCCAGGGAAAGCAGTGCAGGATAGTCCTTCTTGCCTGCCATTTGGACTGGAGCGACAGCTATTCCTGGGGATAACAACCTCAGTTTCTCCCAAAGCCGGAGTCCCCATGGCGCCGGGCATATTCGGGTCAGTGGTGTAGGAAAATGAAATAAACCTGTGGTGCTCATAAGGAACGTGGCTCTGCTGGCTGAGGACCTGGGTTAGATGAATAAGGAGAGCTTTCAGTAAGAGGCATCTGCCCTCAAGATTATGCTTCAGATTCCAAGACAGCTTTTCATAAAGCAATTCAAAAGATGACTCATCTGTTATTGGGGGATTTAGGAAATGAGTGAAGACAGATTATTCAGCAAGACACCCCTCTCCTCAGCCTTGTACTGTCTGCCATGTTACTGCTCCATGCCCTGGCAGTTAATACATATTTTCTTGCAATAGACCAAAAATATTTTCCAAGCACCCAGAGGTGCTGTTTTCTACGGAGAAGTTTTTTTTTTTTTTTTTTTTTTTTGGTCAACATTGTTTATGATTGTGGTTTCTTTTTTTTTTTAATTGCATTTTAGGTTTTGGAGTCCATGTGAAGAACATGCAAGATTGTTGCATAGGTACACACACGTGGCAGTGTGATTTGCTGCCTTCCTCCCCATTATGTATATCTGGCATTTCTCCCCATGCTATCTCTCCCCAACTCCCCACCGCCCCGCTGTCCCTCCCCTATTTCTCCCCGACAGACCCCTGTGTGTGATGCTCCCCTCCCTGTGTCCATGTGTTCTCACTGTTCAACACCCACCTATGAGTGAGAACATGCGGTGTTTGATTTTCTGTTCTTGTGTCAGTTTGCTGAGAATGATGGTTTCCAGGTTTATCCAGGTCCCTACAAAGGACATGAACTCATCATTTTTTATGGCTGCATAGTATTTAAGAAGAGGTTTTGAGTGTGAAATTCAGGCTGGGTTCGGTATCTCATGCCTATAATCTCAGTACTTTGAGAGGCTGAGACGGGTAGATCATGAGGTCAGGAGTTCAAGACCAGCCTGGCCAAGATGATGAAACCCTGTCTCTACTAAAAATACAAAAATTAGCCAGTCGTGGTGGTGGGCGTCTGTAATCCCAGCTACTCGGGAGGGTGAGGCAGAGGTTGCGGTGAGCAGAATTTGTGCCCCTGCACTCCAGCCTGGGCGACAGAGTAAGACTCTGTCTCAAAACAAAACAAAACAAACAAAATAAAACAAAATCAAAGGAATGGGGCTGTTATTTGAGAAAGGTATATTAAATAGTGCATCAAGTAAGAATTAGGATCTGGGTCAAGTGCTTGTATTTTAAATGTTTGAGAATCTCTGAAATCAAAATGTAAAGATGACCGTATGAGAGTCTATTTTATTTATTTATTTATTTATTTATTTAGAGACGAAGTCTCACTCTCATCCCCCAGGCTAGAGTGCAATGGTGTGATCATGGCAACCTCTGCCTCCCGGGTTCAAGCGATTCTCCTGCCTCAGCCTCCCAAGTAGCTGGGATTACAGGTGCATGCCACCACGCCTGGTTAATTTTTATATTTTTAGTAGAGGTGAGGTTTCACAATGTTGGCCAGGCTAGTCTTTAACTCCTGACCTCAAGTGATCCTCCTGCCTCAGCCTCCCAAAGTGGTGGGATTACATGCGTGAGCCACTGCACCCGGCTTAGAGTCTATTTTATAGCTGAGCTTAAACAGTCTGACATAGTAAACATCACTATCAATCAATGTCATGATTGTTATTTTTTTGTTTCCAGTTTCATGGATTTGAATGGGAACATCTGTTCCCCTGGCTGCACTGCCAGTAATATGGTCCAACTGGTACTCATCATTGGAATTACCAAGTCAACTAATTTTTTTTTTTTGAGACAAGAGTTTTACTCTATCGCACAGGCTGGACTGCAGTGGCGTGATCACAGCTTACTATAGCCTTGACTTCCCCACGGTCAGGTGAGTCTCTCAGCTGGGACTACAGGCACACACCACCACACCTGGTAATTATTTTTTTTGTAGAGATGGGGTTTCACCATGTTTCCCAGGCTGGTCTTAAACCCCTAAGGTCAGGTAATCCACCTGCCTCAGCCTCCCAAAATGCTGGGATTACAGGCGTGAGCCAGTGCACCCAGCCTGTCAACTTTTTTTTTTTGTATGAGATGGAGTCTCGCTCTGTCACCCCGGCTGGAGTGCAGAGGCATAATCTTGGCTCACTGCAACCTTCGACTCCCAGGTTCAAGTAATTCTCTGCCTCAGCCTCACAAGTAGCTGGGACTACAGGCACCCACCACCACACCCAGCAATTTTTGTATTTTTAGTAGAGACAGGGTTTCACCATCTTGGCCAGGCTGGTCTTGAACTCCTGACCTCACGATCCACCCACCTCAGCCTCCCAAAGTGCTGGGATTACAGGCATGAGCCATGGCGCCCAGCCTCAACTAACTTTTAATAAGGTCCTTGTTAGGCATTAGTGAGGGATCTGAGATGAAAAAGAGCTAGACTGTCTTTATGGAACTTACAGGTTAGAGAAGATTTTAAAAGACAAGACAGGCCTAGCCTCTCAGCCTACATCTTTCTCCCATGCTGGATGTTCCCTGCCCTCGAACATCAGACTCTGCGTTCTTCAGTTTTGGGACTTGGACTGGCTCTCCTTGCTCCTCAGCTTGCAGACAGCATATTGTGGGACCTTGTGATCATAATTTATTTGCATGGAAGTTTCTGAGATCATAGTGGACAGGAGGCAGGATTAGATTGCAGCTTCAGACAGAACAGCATGCAGAGGCTTGCATAGTGAATTTTAGCTCCAGATCCACTGCAAGAACAAACCAGGAATCCTGAGAGGATCCACAGACCCTCTGAAGGAAGTAGACTGCTCCTGCAGGACCCAGGAGACCCCCAAATAATGTGAGTGCCCCAACTGTGAAAATGGGAAAGGGAGACCCTCCTTTCCCGAACATACACCCTCCACTGGAGAAGGTGAAGATCTGTTTGCCGGAGAAGTTTCTGACTTTACCAGAGCTGAGTTAGACCCAGCTGAGTGAAACACACGGGTAGAGGAAGCAGCAGAAAGGCCCTGGGAGCTCACTGGGTCCCCAAGCAGCTCATTCCTGCATGTTACCACAGGGATCCATTGGGAGGGAGGGTGGTCAGAGAAGCAGGGGGTAAAACTCCACAGGGAGAAGGAATCCTGTAGTTGAACTTTGTAACAATCTGAACTAGGTGAGAGGCCTCCTGGCTGGAACTTGGGGAAGGGTACCAGTCGGGCATGCAGACTTCACAGGTGGGGAAAAACTACAGCCCTTTTCTTATAGCTGGGAGGCGAATAGCCTTGGGCAAGTTTTTAAGCCTGTCTCATCCTCTGCCTGGAAACAGACCGGGGGCTGTTGCGGGGGGACATGGTGGGAGTGAGACTGGCCCTTCCATTTGCCTGGGAGCTGGGCCTGTGACTGCCAGCTTTCTCCCACTTCACTGATAACCTGCATGACTCAGCAGCGGCAGCCATAATTCTCCTAGGTACACAACTCCAGTGACCTGGGAATCTCAATCCCATTCCGGACAGCAGCTGCAGCAAGACCTGCCCAAGGAGAGTGAGCTCAGACACGCCTAGCCCTGTATGGTCCTTCCCTATCCACCCTGGTAGGAAAACAAAGGGCTAATCTTAGGAGTTCTAGGGCCCTACCCACTGCTGGTTCCTCCCCCATACTACCACAGCTGATGCTTTCTGGAAAGCACCACCTCCTGGCAGGAGGCCAACCAGCACGAAAATATAGAGCATTAAACCACCAAAGCTAAGGACCCTCACAGAGTCCACTGCACCGTCTGCCACCTCCACCAGAACAGGCACTGGTATCCATGGTTGAAAGACCCCGTTGACGGTTCACATAACAGGACTCTGTGCAGATAACCTCCAGTACCAGCCAGGAACTAGGAAGACTTGCTGGGTGGCTAGACCCAGAAGAGACAACAACCACTGCAAGTTCGGCTCACTGGAAGCCACATCCATAGGAAAAGGGGCAGAGTACTACATCAAGAGAACACCCTCTGGGACAAGAGAATCTAAACAGTCTTCAGCCCTAGACCTTCCCTCTGACAGAGCCTACCCAAATGAGAAGGATCCAGAAAACTAACCCTGCTAATATGACAAAACAAGGCTCTTCACCCCCCAAAAAACACACTAGTTCACCAGCAATGGATCTAAACCAAGAAGAAATCCCTGATTTACCTGAAAAAGAATTCAAGAAGCTAATCAGGGAGAGACCAGAGAAAGGTGAAGCCCAATGTAAGGAAATCAAAAAAATGATACAAGAAGTGAAGGGAGAAATATTCAGGGAAATAAATAGCTTAAAGAATTTGGTGGCCGGGCGCGGTGGCTCACGCCTGTAACCCCAGCACTGTGGGAGGCTGGGGCAGGGGGATCATGAGGTCAGGAGTTCCAAATCAGCCTGTCCCATATGGCGAAACCCTGTTTCTACTAAAAAAATAAAAAAATTAGCCGGGTGTGGTGGTGTGCGCCTGTAGTCCCAGCGACTCTGGAGGCTGAGGCAAGAGAATCGCTTGGATCTGGGAGGTGGAGGTTGCAGTGAGCCGAGATCGCGCCATTGCACTCCAGCCTGGTGACAGAAGAAGATATACAAATTCTCAAAGAATATACACAAATGGTCAACAAACATATGAAAAAGTGCTAAACAGCCAGGTGCGGTGGCTCACGCCTGTAATCTTAGCACTTTGGGAGGCCGAGGTGGGTGGATCACCTGAGGTCAGGAGTTCAAGGCCAGCCTGGCCATCATGGTGAAACCCCATCTTTAGGGGAAAAAAAAAATGCTAAACATACTAATGATCAGGGAAATGCAAATCAAAACCACAATGTGATACCACCTTACTCCTGCAAGAATTTCCGTAATCAAAAAACAGTAGATGTTGGCATGGAAGAGGTGAACAGGGAACATTTCTACGCTGCTGGTGGGAATGTAAACTAGTACAGCCACTATGGAAAACAGTGTGGAGATTCCTTAAAGAACTAAAAGTAGAACTACCCTTTGATCTAGCAATCCCATTACTGGGTATCTGCCCAGAGGAAAAGAAGTCATTATTTGAAAAAAGATACTTGCACAAGCATGTTTATAGCAGCACAATTCACAACTGCAGAATTGTGGAACCAACCCAATGCCCATCAATTAGCGGATAAAAAAACTGTGAGATATATATATATATATATATATACACACACACATATATATATATATATACACATACATATATATACATATAAACAGGCGTGAGCCACACACACACACACACACACACACACACACACACACACATATACATGACGGAATACTATGCAGCCATAAAAAGGAATGAATTAACACCATTTGCAGTGGCCTGGATGAGATGGGAGACTATCATTCCAAGTAACTCAGGAATGGAAAACCAAACATTGTATGTCCTCACTGATAGGTGGGAGCTAAGCTATGAGGACACAATGGCATAAGAATGATACAATGGGCCAGGTGCAGTGGCTCAGCCTGTAATCCTAGCACTTTGGGAGGCCAAAAGTTTGTATCACCTGAGGTCAGGAGTTCAAGACCACCTGGCCAACATGGTGAAACCCTGTCTATACTAAAAATATGAAAATTAGCTGGGAGTGGTGGTGAGTGCCTACAATCCCAGCTACTCAGGAGGCTGAGGCAGGAAAACTGCTTGAACTTGGGGTGGTGGAGTTTGCAGTGAACCAAGATCACAGCACTTCACTCCAACCTGTGCGAAAGAGCCAAACTCCCTCTCAAAAAACAAAAAAAAGAATGATACAACAGACTTTAGGCCGGAGGAAGAGTGGAAGGGGGCGAGGGATTAAAAGACTACAAATAGCCGGGCGCGGTGGCTCAAGCCTGTAATCCCAGCACTTTGGAAGGCCGAGGCGGGTGGATCACGAGGTCAAGAGATTGAGACCATCCTGGTCAACTCGGTGAAACCCCGTCTCTACTAAAAATACAAAAATATTAGCTGGGCATGGTGGCGCGTGCCTGTAATCCCAGCTACTCAGGAGGTTGAGGCAGGAGAATTGCCTGAACCCAGGAGGTGGAGGTTGCGGTGAGCCGAGATCGCGCCATTGCACTCCAGCCTGGGTAACAAGAGCGAAACTCCGTCTCAAAAAAAAAAAAAAAGACTACAAATATGGTGCAATGTATATCGGGTGATATGTACACCAAAATCTCACAAATCATCACTAAATAACTTATGTAACCAAATATCACTTGTACCCCAATAACTTAAGGAAAAAAAAAGTGTTATTTAACAATAAAAGATTTAAATAGCCACTGGCGACAAAAGGTTGAAACGACTTAGTTAACAAAAGTATAGTAGCTGTAAGGATATGGCAAATCCCACAGTTTTTTTTTTTTTTTTTTCTGAGATGGAGTCCTGCTCTGTTGCCCAGGCTGGAGTACAGTGGTGCTATCTTGGCTCACTGTAATCTCCGCCTGCAACCTCTTCCTGCCGTGTTCAAGCAATTCTCCTGCCTCAGCCTCCTGAGTAACTGGGACTACAGGTGCGCGCGACCACACCCGGTTAATTTTTTGTATTTTTAGTAAAGACAGGGTTTCACCATGTTAGCTAGGATGGTCTCCATCTCCTGACCTTGTGATCCAGCCCCCTTGGCCTCCCAAAGTGCTGGGATTATAGGCGTGAGCCACTGCGCCTGGCCTTGTTTTTTTTTTTTTTTTTTTTTTTAGATGGAGGTTTTCTCTTTTTTTTCAAGCTGGGATGCAATGGTGTGATCTTCGCTTACTGCAACTTCTGCCTCCCAAGTTTTGGCGATTCTCCTGCCTTAGCCTCCCAAGTAGCTGGGATTACAGGCACCATGCCCAGCTAATTTTTTGTAGTTTTAGTAGGAATGGAGTTTCACCATGTTAGCCAGGCTGGTCTCAAACTCCGACCTAAGGTGATCCGCCCACCTTGGCCTCCCAAAGTGCTGGGATTACAGGCGTGAGCCACTGCGCCTGCCTAGCCGGTTTTTGTTTTTAAGGGGCAAAAGGTGAAAGGATCTGAAAGGCCTTCCATGCAAACAGGGGCAAGTTGCAACCTGGTCTGCTTTCTCAGCTGGAAAATGGGTAAATTAGCCCTCTCATCTATTTCATGTATGCTTGCTTAAAAAAGATCAGAGAGGCTGAGTGCAGTGGCTCATGCCTGAAATCCCAGCACTTTGGGAGCCTAAGGTGGGCAGATCATAAGGTTAGGATTTGAGACTAGCCTGGCCAGCATGGTGAAACTCTATCTCTACTAAAAATATAAAAATTAGCATGGCATGGTGGTGCACACCTGTACTCCCAGCTACTCGGGAGGCTGATGCAGGAGAATCCCTTGACAGAAGGTGGAGGTTACAGTGAGCTGAGATCTTGCCACTGCACTACACCTGGGCAACAGAGTGAGACTCCACCTCAAAAAAAAAAAAAAAAAAAAAAAAGAAAGAAAAAGGTATTCTGGAAAGGGCTTTGTTGATACCTTTCAAGGCCTGAGACTGATTTGTAGTAAAATCTGTCATCCAGGTGGATTATGGGAACTACAAATGTACCACGTGTTTACAGCGCCTTTATTGAGGATTACATAGGCACTAAACACAGATGTGCTGTTTTTTTTTTTTTTTTTTTTGGGGGGGGGTTTTTCTTTTTTTTCCCCGCGGGAGGGGAATAGTGTGATCTCAGCTCACCGCAACCTCTGCCTCTCAGGTTGAAGTGATTCTCCTACCTCAGCCTCCTGAGTAGTTGAGACTACAGGCATGTGCCACCTCACCTGGCTAATTTTGTATTTTTAGTAGAGATGGGGTTTGTCCATGTTGGTCAGGCTGGTCTCGAACTCCCAATCTCTGGTGATCCACCTGCCTCAGCCTCCCAACGTGCTGGAATTACAGGTGTAAGCCACCGTGCCCAGCCTGTGCTGCCCTTTTAAACAACTGCCTCATGAGGCTGTAAATAGCTTCTTTTACTATTTGAAACCTTGTAAACTGTAGTCATGGCAACTGGTCTCTGATCTAGGTGGGAGCCATCTTCTAAGGTAACCGGATATCCAGCAAATTATTCCCCAGGTTTGTTTTCAGCCCGTTCTCCTCATCCTTGGTCAACTTCCCCTGAGCCTGCTGCCATCTCCTGAGCCCACTGTGAAATCCAGATACCCACCCATGAGGAAGCTGGATAGAGACACAGAATCAGGCATTGCTTTCTTGTAAACATGCACATTTCCTGTTACTTTACATGTAAGCTTCTACAATAACCAGTATAGGTGATACTGAGATGACACTGGTCACCTTTAGAATGACAATACAATATTCTTCATCTCTACTTCTGCTGTTTTTTTCTTTTTTTTTTTTGAGATGGGAGTCTTCACTCGGTCGCCCAGGCTGGAGTGTAGTGGTGTGATCTCGGCTCACTGCAACCTCTGCCTCCCGGGTTCAAGCGATTCTCCTGCTTCAGGCTCCTGAGTAGCTGGGACTACAGGTGCATACCACCACGCCCAGCTAATTTCTGTATTTTTAGTAGAGATGGGGTTTCACCATGTTGGCCAGGATGGTCTCGATCTCTTGACCTCATCATCCACCTGCCTCGACCTCCCAAAGTGCTGGGATTACAGGCGTGAGTCATCACACCTGGCCTACTTCTGCTATTTCTATGGGAAATAAATATAATGCCAATGTTAATTTTTAGTTCCATGACTAAATTACGATCTAAACCCATGTGTTCTTCTTGTGATAATCAATGTGTTGTCAGTCCTAGTGGGTGATAATTAAGATGGTACTGCCTACACTTGTGTAGTGTAAAAAAAGAAAAGCACAGCCTGGGCAACATAGTGAGACCCCACCTTCACAAAAAAATAACAAATTAGCTGGGTGTGGTAGTCTGAGCCTGTAGTTCTGCTACTCAGGAAGCTGAGATAGGAGGGTGGCTTAAGCCTGGCAGGTTGAGGCTGCACTGAACTGTTATTGCTCCATTGCATTCAGCCTGGGTGACACAGTAAGACCCTGTCTCAAAAATAAAACAAAAGCAATTAAAAAGTCAAAGAAAAGCAAAAAAAAAAAAAAAAATTAAAAAAAAAATTTTTTTTTTCTTCCCCAGCCTGCTCAGCAGGAAAAAAATTTTTTTTTTTAAAGATGGTATTGGCAAGGTGCTCCATGACTGTGAAGGGAAGTACTTCAAAATGCAGCATGCCAAGGAAAGTGGTGTTTTAAAAATTGGTTTTAATGTGTATGAAATGCATATAAAATGAAATGGCTTAGAAAAACATAAATAATAAACTTGGGCACTTCTGAACTCTCTACAACAAAGAATCTCCTTACCTACGAATAATTAAGTGAATAAACTAAGTCAATACCCAAAACTTATCTTTCCTTATTCCTGTTTTCGATCCACAAAACAAAATCCCTTTGTGTATCAGACAGCCTGTAGTGCCAGATTCAATTCATTTTGGAACATGAGCCCCATGCCTCTCTCGGAGTTTCTCATCTGCTAGCTGGTAAATCTGACCGGGCAGGACAGCACTGGTGCATAGTATAATGACAAAGAGAGGAAGTGATCCCAAGACAAGGCGAGACTCCCAGACAAAGGATGGAGAGGAAAGTGCTTTTATCGACTGCTTTGTCACCAGTCCAGTGTTTGAATCTCTACCTTTTTGTCCTAGTTCAGAGCTGCCAGACACACTGGAAGGTCTCCCACCCAACTGGGGTTCAAGAAGGTTCCCTGTGTTCAGTTACTGGCTGCTTTGTTTAACAGTTAATTCCAACAGCCAATCAGACAATTCTAGACACTTTTGGTATCTCCTGGAGCTTTGGCCCTACTCCAACGACTGCTAAAAATGACAAACACACCCATGGTTCCACTTCCCCAAAGCCCCTCCAAAAAAAACCCGAATTGGATTTCAGTTTTGTGATACTCACAGAATGATCCAGTTCTTTAGGGAACAATAAAAGCAGCTCAAATTATACCTCATTGTGACATGAAAAAAGGGATAAAGAAAAATGGTACACAGAAGTGCTAGTAAGAGGAAACCAGCAGTCATGACAGCTCTGCCCCAGTTCCTTTCTTCAAATGTGGGCTTCAGTGTAGGGTTGGTGCTCTACCCTGACTCCCTTGGCTCTGCCTTTTCTTTGAAGATGGCTTCTGCACTGAATGGCTGATTGCAGTTAAGGTGAAAGCTCTCATCGTTGCCCGAGTACCTTCCAATTTGGTTAAGTTCAGAGATAACAAGTCTAAGGAATTTACAAAAGGGAACATTAATTTGTGCAAGAATATTTTAAACATCTATTGAGTGTCAGGCATGGGCTTCTTCAGGGAGCTTGAAGAGTTTGCAGCAAAAAAGAAAAATGAAGATGTGCACAAACAGGATATGTGCCATAGCTGAGGATGGATAACACACTACAGAGCAGGGGTTCTCAAACTTTCTATGCCCCTCAGCTTCCTGGAGAGCATGCTGTCAGACTTGAAACTTACATGCTACTGAGTGGCCTCCTTCATGACTAGATCTGGTCAGCATACCCCCTCCTCCAGCTTCCACATTCAACCCAAACCAAGACAGACTATCTGCAGGGATGGCATGTTCAACTCTGCAACAAGGCCTGTGGCTGGAGCAAACAATCACAGATTAAAACTAGAAGATATAGCCTACAGTCCCAGCTACTTGGGAGGCTGAGGTGGGAGGATTGCTTGAGCACAGGAGCTGTGTCCAGCTTGTGCAACATGGGGAGATCTCATCTCTAAAAAACAAAATAGGCTGGGCACAGTGGCTTGCGCCTGTAATCCCAGCACTTTGGGAGGACGAGGCAGGTGGATCACCTGAGGTCAGGAGTTTGAGACTAGCCTGGCCAACATGGCGAAACCCCATCTCTATGAAAAATACAAAAAATTGGGCCGGGTGTGGTGGCTCACGCCTGTAATTCCAGCACTTTGGGAGGCCAAGGTAGGCAGATCACCTGAAGTTGGGAGTTTGAGACCAGCCTGACCAACATGGAGAAACTCCACCTCTACTAAAAATACAAAGTTAGCCAGGCATGGTGGCGCGTGCGTGTAATCCCAGCTACTTGGGAGGCTGAGGCAGGAGAATCGCTTGAACCCGGAAGGTGGAGGCTATGGTTAGCTGAGAAAGCACAATCGAACTCCAGCCTGGGCAACAAAAGCGAAACTCCATCTAAAAAATAAATTAGCTGTGTGTGGCTATGGGCGCCTGTAATCCCAGCTACTTGGGAGGCTGAGCTCGGAGAATTGCTTGAACCGGAAGGCAGAGGTTGCAATGAGCTGAGATCATGCCATTGCACTCCGGCCTGGGCAACAAGAGTGAAACTCCATCTCAAAAAAAAAAAAAATTAGTTGGGTATGGTAGTGGGCGCCTGTACTCCCAGCTACTTGGGAAGCTGAAGTGGGAGTATTGTATGAGGCTGGGAGTTCAAGATCAGCTTGGGCAACATAGTGAGAATCCATCTCTCTTTGTTTTGTTTTTGATATGGAGTCTCACTTTGTCACCCAGGCTGGAGTTCAGTGGTGTGATCTCATCTCACTGCAACCTCCACCTCCCGGGTTGAAGCGATTTTTCTGCCTCAGCCTCCCAAGTAACTGGGACTACAGGCACGTGCCACCATGCCCAGCTAATTTTTTGTATATTTAGTAGAGACGGGGTTTCACCATGTTAGCCAGGATGGTCTCAATCTCCTGACCTCATGATCCGCCCGCCTCACCCTCCAAAAGTGTTGGGATTATAGGCATGAGCCACTGTACCTGGCCTATCTCTTTTACTTAAAAAAAAAACAAACCCAAAAATAAAAGCCTAGATGTAGGAGGTGATACTGTGTCATCAAGAGCTCTCACTCTGGAGAGAAGAGGATGGTAAAGCCTTTGATTTCGTGTCTCTGAAAAGGATAAAGGATATTTGAGGCCGGGCATGGTGGTTCACGTCTGTAATCCCAGCACTTTGGGAGGCCGAGGGGGGAGGATTACCTGAGGTCGGGAGTTCAAGACCAGCCTGGCTAACATGGTGAAACCGCATCTCTACTAAAAATACAAAAAATTAGCCAGGTGCAGTGGCACACGCCTGTAATCCCAGCTACTCTGGAGGCTGAGGCAGGAGAATCGCTTGAACCCAGGAGGTGGAGGTTGCGGTAAGCCGCAATCATGCCACTGCACTCCAGCCTGGCCTACAGAGCGAGACTTTCTCGAAAATAAAATAAAATAAAGGATATTTTAATCTATTTTCAGGAAAGCATGAGCTGTCAATCTCTGGACCTGCCTTCTAAATGCCATTTATCTAAAATTCATTGTTTATGCATTTTTTTTTTGAAAGGTAAAGCACTAGTTTTCCTTAGCTACAACTTTCATGGTACGTCAACCTTGCAGAAACTTAATTAAAACTAACTGAAGGAACAGATGCAGAGACTAACTGAAACAGGGTGCTTTAGGAAAGACGATTGTTAAAAAAAAAAAAAAAAAAAAAAGGAAAGATGATTGTTAAAATGTTCACCAGCCAGTCTCACCATGCAAACTTTAATGTGCATAAAAATCACCTGGGAGTCTTTTGAATTGTAATGCTGGTTCATTAGGTCTGGGGCAAGGCCTGAAGCTCTGCATTTCTTTCTTTCTTTTTTTTTCTTTGAGAAAGAGTCTCGCTTTGTTGCACAGGCTGCAATGCAGTGGCATGATCTCGGCTCACTGCAACCTCCACCTCCCAGATTCAAACGATTCTCCTGCCTCAGCCTCCTGAGTAGCTGGGATTACTGCCATGCACCACCATGTCTAATTTTTGTATTTTTAGTAGAGACAAGATTCACCATATTGGCCAGGCTGGTCTCGAACTCCTGACCTCAGGTGATCCACCTGCCTCGGCTCTGAAAGTGCTGGGCTTACGGGTGTGAGCCACTGTGCACAGCTGAGGCTCTGCATTATTATTATTTTTATTTTTTGAGACGGAGTCTCACCCTGTCCCCAGGCTGGAGTGCAATGGCGTGATTTCAGTTCACTGCAACCTCCGCCTTCCAGGTTCTACTGATTCTCCTGCCTCAGCGTCTCAAGTTGCTGGAATTACAGGCGCACCCCCACACCACGTCTGGTTATTATTATTTTTGTGTGTGTGTTTTTAGTAGAGATGGGGTTTCATCATGTTGCCCAGGCTGGTCTCAAACTCCTGAACTCAGGCAATCTGCTCGCCTCAGCCTCACAGAGGTGACAGGGATTACCGTCATGAGCCACCATGCCCAGTCCGTTTCTTATTTATATAACATTTAAGAGGTTGAGACAAGAATTCAGGAGGGAATATTACCTGCTTATTCAGTCTTGTCTCTTTCTTAATAAGGAGATGAAACCATAGATCTCAAAACAATGACCTAATAAACAGCTAAGAGCCAAACAACATTGAGGTTAAACAGACCAACATGCAATGTTGCAGCTTTGAAAAAACAAATTGGCCAGCAGGTGGTGCCAGAAGCCAAGTGAGGGGAGAATGATTTTCTGAGAAATGCTTAATAATAATTCATGTTTCAAAAACCTGTTTTGGGCTGGGTGCGGTGACTCACACCTGTAATCCTAGCAATTTGGGAGGCCGAGGTAGGCAGATTGTTTGAGCTCAGGAGTTTGAGACCAGCCTGGGCAACATGGTGAAACCCCCCTCTCTACTAAAGTACAAAAAATTAGCCAGGCATGGAGGTGTGCTCCTTTAGTCCCAGCTATTTGGGAGGCTGAGGCAGGAGAATCATTTGAACCCGGGAGGCGGAGGTTGCAGTGAACTGAGGTTGCGCCACTGCACTCCAGCCTGGGTGACAGAGTGAGACTCCATCACAAAAAAAAAAAAAAAAAAAAAAAAAAAAAAAAAGTGTTTTGCTGCTCTCTGTAAAATGGGAGTTAAGAAAGAAAGTAGCCTTTCTGTCTTTCACATCTTCCTGTTAGCTCATCCTCCTGCTGTAGGTGCCTGAAATCCTTAAGGGCTGAAACCTCTCCAACGGAACCAACGAGTATCAGTGGTCAGGCTTGAAACAGATTATGCCATTTCCTAGACTTGAGGTTTTACAATGAAGATAAAGCGCGCTTCACTCACAGTGTTTGCAGATAGTTATTTCTCAAACAAGGAAAGCAAAATAGATTGAGCAGGAAAATACAGAGCTGTTATTAGCTGGGCATGGTGGCTCACGCCTGTAATCCCAGCACTTTGGGAAGCTGAGGCGGGTGGATCACCTGAGGTCAGGAGTTCGAGACCAGCCTGGCCAACATGGTGAAACGCTGTCTCTACTAAAAATACAAAAATTAGCTGGGTGTGGGGGCAGGCACCTGTAATCTCATCTACTTGGGAGGCTGAGGCAGAAAAATTGCTTGAACCCAGGAGGTGGAGGTTGCAGCGAGCTGAGACTGCGCCACAGCACTCCAGCCTGGGCAACCAGAGTGAAACTCCATCTCAAAACAAAAAAAAACAACAGCAGAGAAAACAAAGGAAATGCAGAGCTGTTGTCTTTGATTTTGGGGGACAGGAGGAAAAAAGACTACTCTAGGTCTGGTCTAAATTTAACAGGCTTAATGCTTGAAAGCTTAATGCTGCAGAATTCAAGAGACAGCTAATGAAGTAAAGAGGAAAACATTTACTTCACACAATCCCAACATCTCGTTCATTTTAATTTTATTTTTGAGCCGGAGTTGCGTCCTTGTCCCCCAGGCTGGAGTGCAATGACATGATCTCGGTTTACTGAAACCTCTGCCTCCTGGGTTCAAGCGATTCTCCTGTCTCAGCCACTCAAGTAGCTGGGACTACAGGCACTGCCATCATGCCCAGCTAATTTTGTATTTTTAGTAGAAACAGGGTTTCACCATGTTGGCCAGGCTGGTCTCGAACTCCTGACCTCAGGTGATGTACCCACCTCGGCCTCCCACAGTGGTGGGATTACAGGCGTGAGCCACCATGCCCTGCCCCATTTATTTTTTTTAAGCAGAAAACTTTGAATCTGCAGAATTACATTTGTGTGTATCTATTTGTGTGTATCATATTTGTGTGTATCATATTTCTTCTTCCTATTTTTTTTTTTTTTTTTTTAGCCAGAGTCTCGCTCTGTCACCCAGGCTGGAGTGCAGTGGCTCAATCTAGACTCACTGCAACCTCCACCTCCCAGGTTCAAGCAATTCTCCTGCCTCAGCCTCCTGAGTGGCTGGGACTACAGGTGCACGCTGCCACGCCTGACTTATTTTTTGTATTTTTAGTAGAGACAGGGTTTCACTGTGTTGCCCAGGTTGGTGTCAAACTCCTGAGCTTAGGCAATCTCCCTGCCTTGGCCTCCCAAAGTGCTGGGAGGCATGAGCCACCATGCCCGGCCCCATATTTCTTCAATTTATAACATCTAACAGAATCTTAATAATTTATCAACTACACTACTAAAACAGAAACATATTAGAAAAGCAGCAATAACAACACAGTATATTTTCTTCTAAAAGTCTCAAAGCCTATATTACTATTAATGATGCCTTGTATTTGTTTAGGACTTAAACATATCCAAACCAAAGCAGTTTCTTTTTTTTTTTTTTTTTTTTTTTCTGAGACAGGGTTCCCCTCTGTCGCCCAGGTGGAGTGCAGTGGCATAAAAATGGCTCAGTGCAGCCTTGATCTCCTGGGCTCAAGCAAGCCTCTTTGCCTCAGCCTCCCCAGCAGCTGGGACCACTGGTGTATGCCACCACACCTGGCCAGTTTTAAATTTTTT